CTGGAAAATTTAAGGAGTTATTATTATGTACGTTTAGATGATACAACCGGTAGGATACTTTTGCACGTTACTGTAATTTAGTGACTCAAAGTTTAGTATCAGTAACTTACACCAAGGTTTACCTCTTCCAATTAAATACGATATGCTTACACCTATCATAACGTTAGACAATAAACAGAATCTGTTCTCAAGACGTGATAAAGGTCTTATTATTATATTATTATAAAAATAGTATTCCACATATGCCAGTCTAATCTGTTTACAATGAATTTTGGTATAACGATCTGTTTATAAAAATTGTCTCCAAAAAAAAAAAAGACCTTGATTATAAGGAATTTCTGGTTATAAGGAATATTTTTTCCAGCTTGTAGAATTCGTTATAACCAGTTTAGACTGTATATCCTTAACAGCCCTGGAATTAACGACATAATTTGATTAAACTTTTACGTTAACTCGACCGATGACGCCTGAACGTAAGTGGTCGAATTATCGATACCCTTTTTTGTAAATTGTAATTCTATGAAGACAAAACGTTCAAGACATGATTAGCATTGGTGGAGTAGACCAAAAGGTGTATATACATGTGCATAGAAACTGACGATCTGCAAAGCAGAATTCAATTCAATTAATTTATTACCTACCGCCTACATAATTTACACCAGTATATGTGATAATAAAATTACAAGGATTTGGTTATATACAAAATATCCAAAAAAGAAAAAAACCCAAAAGAACTAACGGAAACTTGATTCAGATACGAGATGTTCGAAAAATGTCATATAATTACAATGAAACATGTAATAGTAAACCCAAAACCTGAATAAACCTATCCCAATGCACAATCCTACTCATTATCTCCCAGCAATCTAAATTCAACTCCATCAACTTTCACTCTATCCTCTCCATTCCTCTTTCTCGTCGGTTTCTTTTCCTTCTCCTTTTCCTTCTCCTTCTCCTTGTCTCTGTCCTTTTCTTTTTCATCTTTCTCTTCTCCCGCGCGGCCATCTCCATTTCCAACAACAACGCTGTTCTCGCCCACAGATATCGCTCCAGATTCAAGCTCAATTGCCACTCGCCTTTTAAGACGTCTGATCGTACTCCTTTTAAGCCTTATTTTAAACGCCGCTTCGAGCAAAATATCTGGCGTGAGCATTTCGGGCGGAATATGCAGAAGGAAGGTTAAGATTTCTGAAGAAGTGGGGCATTTCTTAAGAATGTGTTCTCTCGTACAGTCCAAAATTGCTAGGCCAACTCGGAAAAAAAGTTTCACGCCTTGTAAATCGTAAAATGTGGTGAATAAAATTGGTCGAAATACGGCGACTACATAACGAATATCAAAGCACGTTACCTTCAAAATAAAATATATCCCAGACACGTAAGACTGATGACCATGGAAGCGCCATGGTAAAGAGAGTCATAAACCATTGTGTTATATACATTATTGGAATAACACGATTCTCGCTCTATAAAAGATACTAACGGTCAGAATTACATCCATAATAATACACAACCGCTTAACTCGTCAACTCCACTCACCAGATGCTGAGCCAATTTAGGGTCGTGTTCGACAAGAAGAACATCAAAAACAAAAGAATCAACTTTCAGCTCCATTAAATCAGGCGTATAATACCCATTCATATACTCTTCGATAGTAACGACTAGCAACCAAAACGTATCCTCAGCGGGCATCTGCATAAGCATCATCCCGACAAGCCTGCCCATTCCTTGACAATAACCAACTTTTTGATTGTAGTGAGCGTATGCTTTGAGGACATCGTGAAGGTCAGACTGACCGGAGCCTGTAGCCTCGCGAAATTGGATATGGTCAGGATAGCAGCGGTGGATATCTCTTTCTATTACGTCATATATTGGAAGCCTGTCTCTTTTGCGGAGAACCTTGAACGGATGAAAGTAACAATTTAGCGCTTGCAGTGATAGCAACCCATTTATTTGCGTTCACGACTGGTTTTGTTATACTTACGTCATAAACTTTAGACTTTCTATTTTTGTCAGCATTAGCCATGAATCGCCACGCTTTACCACGGACAGATTCAGGAATCCCAAGCCTAACTAGCTTCTTAATCCTTCTCGAATCTCGTGCAGTTGCTGAATCCACACTTCCCAATACTGCAACCCATTTCGTTTCTCTTTCTCTATATTGCCTGACATTTTTCGTGCCTTTATCTTCAGAACCCGGTGCTTGAATACTAGTAAACAATTTAAAGAATTACCAGAAGAGGAAAGATATCATGAATATAATAAAGAAGTAGTGGAGCAAGAATAGGAAAAGTAGCACCAGTCGGTATAATAATAGAACAAATTGTTGCACCTCAATAAAACAGGCCAGAATACGAACAAAATAACTTACATTCTCTTAATAGGATCGACTCCATCGGGAATGTCCTCTAATAAGACATCATGAACGAATCCGTAATTGTCCACAGTCAAAACTTCTTCTTTCTTCTGAATTGTCTTGCCGGAACCATTCGCACTTCTAGAATTATCCGGGTTGCCTGACCTATTTGATCTGCTTAAACCACTCTCAGCACTATCAGAAAGCTTCGTACTCGATGCAACATTTTGATTTTTCTGTACAGGCATAGAGTCTTTTCTCTCTGGACGAGAAATAGAAGCTGCGATTTTGTTATCACGCTTGCCTCCTTCATTATTACCACCAGTGCTGATATCACTCCTTTTCGTCTCCATATTATTAGTATCTACTTTTCCATTACTACCTTCTGACTCACTTCCAGTATTATCTAAATCAATTTTAATCTCGGGAATAACATTTTTGCTAACAGACTCCTCTGTTCGCATAACTTGGTCGGTCTTATTCTCATTCGTTCTCTCTTTCATTATTCTATTAAAGACGTCCTCTTTCTCGTTGTCATCGTCAACGTGATCAATAATTAAAAGTGGTATTTTCATGTTACTTAATGTTGTCGGTTGGATACTATTAGGTCGGCTGCGATACGCGATAAGAGAACTTTCTATATCGTCTTCACCTTCCTCATCAGTGTCGCCTTCGTCAGCGGACATGACGATTCGAGACATTCGGTTCACTGGCGAAGGTGATGGAGAACGTGAGGATGCTGGAGAGCGAGAGGAAGATGGAGAGTGGGGGGGTGACGGAGATCGTGATGGCTGGGCTTTGAAAGTGTGTGAAGGCGAAGTTGCGACAGATGAAATTGGTGTAGGTGACTGTCGAGGCTGAGGCTGAGGTGAAGTTGAAGACAGCTCGGCTTGCACCTGGGACTGTGTTGTTGGCAAAGATGTTTCTTTTTGCTGTTCTTTCTCTTGTTCTTCATCTTCATTTTCTTGCAGCTGCGGCAGTTGTTGTTGATATTGTTGTTGCATTTGTTGTTTTTGCTGTTGTAGTTGTTGTTTCTGCTGCTGTATCAGTAGTTTTTTCTGCTGCAGTACCTGTTGTTGCTGCATTCGTTGTTGCAGTTGTTGTTTTTGCTGCTGCAGTTCTTTTTTTTGTTGCAACAATAGTTGTTGTTGTTGTTGTAGCTGCTGCTGTTGTTGCAATTTTTGTTGTTCTTGTTGTTGTAGCTGCTGTTGCTGAAGCTGCTGCTGTTTCAATTTTTGTTGTTCTTGTTGTTGTAGCTGTTGCTGAAGCTGCTGCTGTTTCAATTTTTGTTGTTCTTGTTGTTGTAGCTGCTGTTGCTGAAGCTGCTGTTGTTTCAATTTTTGTTGTTCTTGTTGCTGAAGCTGCTGTTGTTGCAATTTTAGTTGTTCTTGTTGTTGTAGCTGCTGTTGTAGCTGCTGTTGCTGTAGCTGCTGTTGTTGTAGCTGCTGTTGTAGCTGCTGCTGCTGAAAGTATTGCTGCTGTTGGAAATTCTGTTCTTTGTGAAGGTAGGGCGGACGAGATGGTGGGAGTTGTGATGCTTGAGATGGGCGCATCTGTTGTACGTGAGCAGGTCGATTTGGAACTTGAGCTTGTTTTTGAAACTGTTGCTGGGGAACAGGATTTGTATGATAGTAGTTTGGGATATTGGGCCTCCTTGGCGTATAACCTTGTCCTTGGATGGGTCCTAACAATTGCTGTTGTTGCCCTACTATATCTTGATGTATTCCTTCTTTCATTCCACCATCGATGGGATTTTTACGGTCGTCGAATCCCATGTTATTATTCTCAAATTTTCCTACAGAATAATAATCATCTCCCGGCGTCGGCGTCGGCGTTGAAGGTGTAGAATTTAAACGTCTTGGTGGAATGATTGTTCCAGAACTCTGCATCTGCGGAGCCGAGTTCTTCCGCCATGGACCGGATTGGTGTTGTTGATGATTGTGAAGCAAGTGAGAAGAATAAGGGGTAGAGGAGTAATTATTATCGACAGGACGAACACCAGGATGAGGACTTGTAAAGGGTTGATTAGAATTATATGGTCGAACTCCGCCATACGGTAGTTGCCCGTTATTGAGCACTGGCTCATATCCATTAATCATATCCCGAGGAACATCTTGGGTCTTGATGGTAGTAGCGCCTTGTGGACGCCAAATTGGCGATGAGATTGGGCTGCTTTGAAGTGAGATTGGACTGCTTTGAAGTGAAGTTGGAGGGGATGCCTGGTATTGTTGTTGTTCCGTTGAATAAGGCGGAGACCCTGGACTTCCTGGTAATGGCGCAGTGTTCTGCCTTTTTGGACCATTAGCGTATCCTATAATATTGCTACTAACATTCGTACCCACATTATTCGCGATCCCGTTTTCGGCACCCATTGGCGTTCTTTGCACTCTGTCTCTATTATTATAACCTTGCTCATACCGTCTTTCCACTCCCCCAATCTGTTCTTTCTCAGTATCTAGTGCCAAGCCCTGCGGCGATTTTGACAGAGATGGGTTCTTATAGCTAGAAATTGCTGATGTGGGATAAACCACGGGAGATCTTTGTGGGGATGATGGGTGAGAACCTTGCCGAGAGTTTGGGGAGAGTGTTGGAGATTGTGTTTGGTTGGAATTGTTTGACTGTTGCGTTGGTAATTGCATTATATTGTTGTCCTGCTTTCTTTTCTCTGGACTTTTCCCTACTGTGTATTGCCCCTGTTCCTGCGCTATTACTCCATTAGAATTAAAATCGGTTGTAATTTTAGGAAGAGCAGTCGGTGGTTCTGGAAATCCTAACGGCATTATTCCTCCCTTATAGACGTCATCAAACATTGGTATAGTCGGTGAATGTACTGGGGTGGTGGAAGTTGATATTGGCGGAAGAAAGTCCGGCGACGCTAACGATGCTGATAACTGGTTCGGCGTAATATATTGTGACAATACGACTGTTGGAGTTTGTGTTGGCGTAGTAGTCACCGATGAATGGAGGGGCGGTGAAGGGGACTTTATTCTCGCGTTACTAGCTGTAAGCAAGTCGCTCTTTATATCTATGGCTGATGGGACGAAAACTGATGGGATAGTAGCCGAGTTCAAGTCACTGATGTCGGATGGGTTATTAATATTTTTAGAAAGTGGCAAGGCCGTAGTTCTGACCGGGCTAGTGAATATGACGCTTTTTGCCGAAAAGAGACCGATCACGCCTTCGCAATACCCCTGGAAGAAGAGGTTCGGTTAATTAACAAGAACGAACACGTCGCGATATTAAAAATGCGAGAATGCCATTGATTCTATCTCTTAAACAATACAGCAAAGTTCTTTCTCGTTCCACTATTCGAGAATATGCTTACCAGAAACAGATCATCTTTGATGCGCTTCAGTACGATGATCCTGTCATCCTTAAAGAACATTAAATCATCTTCAGTCTCTGCTTCTGTATCGATCTTGGCAATTGCTACTCCAACACCGCCTGAAAACGGAAAGTATAAATGTTAATAAATGCCTTAATTATACAATAGATATACTAGATTTCGGATATAATTGAATACTGATCAATTCTCACCGACTTCCGTTATCTATGATTTACTGTTATTTATACTCACCTTCTTTCGCGAATGTCTCTAATTTTTGTAATTCTTCGGGTGAATTTATTAGCATTTTAATAATCAGGAAGATGCCGCATTATTAAATAGTAGATGAGTTGTTGTAGAAACTGCTATTATAAAAACGCGAATAGTTTGACGCAGGCTAAATAGTTGGTTTATGCCCGCGCGTTTACTAATATTAAGAAAGTTGTAGATTGTGATTGCAAGAGTTGTAAATAAAAGTCAGATATTAGGGAAACGGGTAAGTTCTGATAGTCTATGTAGTTATTTGAACATTCCGTACAGACCAAGAGGGCTCTTATATTAATGGGTACCAATATCCCTTATGGGTATTCTTGGCTGAATTGAGAAGACAAAAAACTAAACGAGAATTACAAAATTATGAATACTTTTGTTACTTATATTCAGGAAATTATTTCACTGATTGACCACTTACATATTCAAGTGACACAGCCGAAATGCCACAAAATATTTCACGAGCATCAAAAAGGCAATTTGTAACTAATAATTAGCTTGTACTTAAATTACAAATTGAGCGCCTGATAAGCGATTCCAAAAAGTTGGAACAACACAACAATAAATAAAAACTGATCAGTTTTAAGGTATGTAAAAAACCCAAATAAATGAGTGTTATCTATATTGATCCTTTGTCGGCTCTTTCCTTTGTCGCCATTATCTTATCAGCTTCTCAATTCGCCTTCCGGGAAGGGGTTTATGGATTCATTCTTTACATAAACGGTAAGGCTGCTTCGTATTGTCTTTTCAAATAAACCCTGTTGATGATTTAGCATTTAATTTTGTGATGCACTGAGGGACATGCAGTGCATTGGCTTTGGGGCACGAAGCACTGGTCAAACCTGACTTTTGATTTATGGTATTTGATTATCCGACACTGCAGAACGAAACATAGGGAGCGTCAAAGTTTAATGCTATTACTATGAATACCACTAATATTAATAGAATACGCTCCACGGAATATTAACTAGAGGATCAGAACAGCAGTTAGTATTAGCAATCAATTAAACGGACGAGCTTGTACAAACGTCTTGTCGAGCATAGGCTATAACAGGAATGTTAATACGAGGCAGACTGCAACAAAACCAGACACTGAGCAGTATCTGAAGATTGTCGCTTGTTGCCGACCAAACCCATTTAGCAATAAAGTGTCTTCCTCATAGAGACGGGGGGGCTTAATTTACCATAGGAAACGTTTAGCGTGCGGGACAATTTGTATGATTTTTGAAATAATTAATGGGTTTCCCATAATTAATAACTCCAAAACTTAATGTTAAATCCAACATGGGACATTACGATTAATTTCTTTATTATTAAAGAATATAACGAAAATAAGAAACTTTCGGATCAAATGATCGGTATTATGATATCTCCATACCACGTACAAAGATGAGAAGTCAAGAGCGATGAGACAGCTATCGTATACAGATAAGAAATCAATATCTAATATTGCCGTCTTGCAATTAATTGTAGGATACCCAAGTTACATTATACGAAGCACTTCAATATCGTCGCAAAATGCGTGAACTGCTACGCTTTTAACAATGATTGTTGTTATTACGGAGGCTCTGGGTTTTCTTAGGTGCCATGGTATAAGGAAACGGTCTAGTACAGGATCGTTTTTTGGTGAATTCACGATCTCGTTAAATAATAATTCATAATCCGTAAACCATAGTCGAAAGGTTAAATGGTATCTTTAATATTACGGTTAATGAAATAAGAAATATAATTCGTTAATAAATATTACTAATGAGAAATGAATTTAGTTATGCAGGGTATTAGTATGTTGTCATGAATGGTCTGTTTACGTATGCCGTACATGAATGGTAGATAGATAGAAGGACTGTTAAGAAGAAAATTTTGGTCTCTGAAACAATTAAAAAGTCAATGATGATGAACAGAAATAATGAATCGAATAAAGTATTAGGTATCAAGTTGCGCACCAATAGTAGTAATAATAAGAGCACGTCAGATTTTGTGAAAAATTTAAAGTTAATGTTTAGAGCTGCTGCAAAAAATCCATGTCCGAATTATTCGAAAAGTTTATTACGTGAGAGTAAAATATTTGTTAGAAAACATCCCATTTAAACGAAGCTTTGGGAGATGGAAAGAACATTCATCATAGTCATTATTACGTACATATTATAGTGCTTAATATTAAACCTTAAATTATCCGAGCAATGAACTGACTGGTAAATTGAAAACATGCCCTGTAAAGTAAGTGCATGGGTGTCTGATTGGATGACCAAACTCGAACAATTTTTGTTTGGTAAAACTCCATATTAATATTGCTTCGGTCCGAATATTAAATAGTGGAATAGTTTATAGTAATAGTAACAACCAAAATTTCGACCAATCGTTTTGTAGACAATTACTCTTTTAGACTCTAATGCTTGCAATATTAAATTTCTCTTTACACGCGCCACTATAGTTGACTCGGCATATTATTACTGGAGACTCGAAAACCGTCGAGTTACTGTTTTTAAACCTTTAATTAAGGAGCCAAAGTTGGACAGAAGAATTCCACCGATTTTGAGCCACAATATTTGAAGGCCTTCAAAAAAGTGTACTTTCTGATTAATGGCATTAATAATATTGTATTAAATAAACTAGAACAGGAGCTACAAATGATGTATGAGAGAGGTAATTTCCTGGCGCACGGCTTCACCCGCGTATCACAACGTTTCCAAATCTGCGGACTGTCTGTATACATGGAAAATATCGCCGTCAAGTGCGAAACGATATTTAAGTATTAATTATAATTGCTGATTAGCTTAGAAGCAGGCACTGATTAAAGTAGAATACATCCCAAAGGAAATTCATATTTTGACCATCACAAATTATGACAACTAATTCCGATTGGGTTTTGTTTATTTATTGACCATCGAATTATCGTATATTAATATAGAAATAATTGCCCGCAAAACCACTTTGTTAGACCGTTACAATAACCCCACTATTTACACGTGGTTCTAATAAATGATGCCTGAAACACAGCATACACCGAGTGCAGTGTAGTGGGTTTTCTCAAAATTCACATGGTCTGCATAGTTTGATCAAATTTATGCGATCAGCATATTTATCTGCAATGTAATAGGCCCAAGCGCTCAGTGGGATATTACACGCTTACCAAAAACGCCACTTACCCAATTGAATTACAACTCGTCATATTACAACAACGATTGAAAACCCAATAACTCGGTTCTCCGAAAACTGATCTCTCTTGTTTGTCAAAGCGAAGGGGGAAACATGGCAAATATTATTGAATGGTTGTTTGGCGGCAGTCGTTCGGCTGATGGCAATAGTCCACCCGCACCAGTCAACACACCCGCTCATCCTTTTTATCCACAAGATCTCAAGGTTTGAACCTTGCTGCATTTGTTGTGCTCTACTTACTTTTTTCCCTAACCTTTTACGCTCAAACTTACCCATGTTTTCCCCCACCCACTCTTCCCGCCTTTCAGTTCCCAAACTACGTTCCGTCGTCCTACTCCGCCTTTGAAACCTTTTCAATCTTTTTCGGGGCGCTCTCGGTTATCGTTTTCCCTTCACTCTACCTAATCCTGAATCGTACATCGGTTGCTCCAAGAAACAAGGCAATTTTTATCTGGTTTGCTGTATGCGCATGCATTCATCTAGTGCTCGAGGGATATTTTGCATATTTTCATGCTACTATGGCGGAGGATGATACCATTTTAGGACAGTTATGGAAGGAATACTCGCTCAGTGACTCGAGATATCTAACCTCGGATCCACTGGTCGTTTGTATGGAGAGGGTTACCGCAGTGAGTATTGAGATTGAGGCTGGAAGCGTGTTTATTTATTTGAAAGTTAAAACCTTTATATTGGTATGTATTTCGTGTACGCTAAAAAGTATTGACAACTCTCCCAAAACATGATTAGATATTCGGTGGCCCACTGTCCATTTTCACTTGCCTCGCTATTTACTTCAATTGGCCTTCTCGTCATGTGCTTCAGCTAACGACCTCCATCATTCACCTGTACGGTGATGTTCTCTATTACTGGACGACGATCTTTCAAGGCTCTCCCCACAGCCGTCCTGAAGCATATTATTACTGGTTCTATTTCATATTCATAAATAGCATATGGGTCATTATTCCGACCCTTTTGACAATAGAAAGTTGGAAAGAATTAACAAAGGTTGTGAGTGAGGACTATCGGAGAAAGAGCAAGAAATTACAGTAGTGAGTACACGAAGGAGGAGGAAGGCGTATATGGAACAAGGAGCAGTGCGCGATGAATCTCGTTGCAGAGGTTGTGGTTCTCACAAAGAATATCGGGACGATTGGTATATAGTAATGTTTACTATTCTGCGAATAAAACATCCAAGTTCAAATACAATTTCTAATAAAGTAATCACATTTTTAAGCGTACGGTTCCAATTCAATGCTCGTTGCATTAGCCTCAATTTGCGATGCCTAATTGAGTTTTATCAGGAATCTGTAACTTACCACTTACCGCAGCAATGTGACAGTGCTCTTATGAGCAGAGCCAGTTAGAATTATATATTAGATTATTACATCTAATTATTCCCTCCTGACATCAGTGTTTCACCTTACTCCCCAGACGAACGAAAAACATTAACACAAGAGACAATGCTGTACAATCTGTTCACAACAAATTAATAATAAAATCAAATTTGTTCACTGAACTTTTTTATTTTGTTATACATGTCAAATGTCAATATAATAGCTACTCCACGATTAATTAAAGATAAGGTCTCATTCTGGATGCAAAAGAGTCTCTAAAGCCCTCGTCCTATCGCAGACTATTATTGCGCGTACTGAATCATGCAAGTTGATTGGTTGTATTATCATGTGACTTTAACAGCTTTGATTACTATGGAATTTACCCGCAATCGAATTTTTTTTCATTCTTCATTCTTGTCTGCACATTCAACGCGTAACAACCCCGCCGCTCCCCCTGATGCGAGCCATGTTCCCGCTGTGATATTAGGGTTCCATTGCAGCTATAATTGATGTTTTGAATAAAGAAAATCAGCAGTTTTAGCCAAAGAAAATCGCTAAAGGTGTTTCGTTTTAGCTAATTGACTCTGCCTAATTGATCACAATTCAGCGTACCTTTTGAACGGAAATTTCCGGTGGAAACAAATAATTATACATGGATTCATTACGTCCAAGTTTCGTCTCGTTCTAATTGTAGAATGGTGTTAGTGACGATAATAAAGACGCTTTTTTTGACAGTACGACTAACTTACCCGTGGAATAATATTATCCCACATGGTAAATGATCTGCTTTCACCGTTATAAGAGAGACGATATAAAATAACTTCTTTCGGTTTCTGCGTCCATATACATTAGATGTTAAGTACTTGATTGACATTACGCGGCCACTCTTGATCAAGTGTCCAACAGAAACTGAAAGCATTCAATTTAGATTGTTGTTGAGAAAATCAAATAAGATTTCCATGTCGTAAGTCATTGGATAAAGTCTAAGCTTTCCCAATGGTGATGAGCATTTCTGATGTCAATTTCTCAACAACCATCTAAAGACTGCCAACTGGTTCAACCTCACTTTTTTAAATTCAATGTAGTACACTTGATCAAGAATTTCGAAATGAACACGTAAAAAAACAATGTAAATATAACCTTCCAAGTACTCTTCAGCGGAAATATATTGGTCATTACAACAAGACCATCTGTTCCACAACTAGCAATAAACGGATGAAACAATGACACGCCGATAGACTATCAAGTAGTGTTTTTTACAGAGATTACGAATTATTTCAGAACCCAAAGTCATACATCCAACCGACCCTGTTTAAAATTCTCCAATTCACCCACCATCACTCACCCAAATACACTGCCGATGTTGCAAAACTCTCATAGTCTTGGCGAAATCCTCCGTCCTCACGAATCTGACACCATATTCTTGATCAGGAAACATCAATCCGGCATAACGAGTAGACCATGCCACACTCATCATAACAGTCCGTAAATGCCGAAGGTCGTATTTCATGCACGGGTCGCGTTCATCGAATATCTGTATTTTCCCATCGTGCCCACAGGATAGAATATGCGTAGGGTTGGAGTGCGAGTTCCATAAAACTTGACGAACACTAGAATCGTGTGACCAGACGTAGCGAGTTGGACAAAGTAAATTTGAATACGAGATGGATTGCTGTTCGTTTTGGTTCGAAAGTATGTCGTAAATATTCCATGTCGCAATATACCCGTTTGTACAGCCAACAGCGACCTTTTCATGACCACCCCATTCAAGCGTCCAACATAATATGCCCGGAAGGGATAGTTTGATTATTTCCTGCTTGAATTTGATGTACAGAGTTTCTGCATCATTCTTTCCCAGCCGACGTCGAATCTCATCCGGTGAAGGTATTACAAAGAACCTTACTGTTCCATCTCCAAAACACCCAGCAAGTATTCCTAACCTCTTGACGTGCGTCTCTGCATTGTCACTATCATTCTCTTCCACGTCACCATCTACCAACTCACACGCACCATAAGGACACCATTTCAAGTCATAAACACAGCCATAATCGTGACAAATAACCATATCCAAATACGGTGAACCTCTCTCCTCCCCATTAATATCTTTTTCATCTCTGCAATCAATTCTCCAAATTTGAATAATGTTCTGCATATTCGTCGTCTGCTTGATCCCGATCTCACGATGCTCGTCAGTCGTTGACTTGTATCCACCGACAGCAAGGTATTGTAGCGATCCAGCAGGTAGCGAAGGACACCAGTGTAAGGCCCATATAGAGAAACCGACGTTTGTAACTACACCAGTGTGATTTGATATGTAAGAAGATAGCCTTAATGACGATAATTGAGGTAGATCGGCAGAGGCGCTATCAGATGGAACTATGTTTATCGTAACCGGATCTTTCCGTTCTGGAAGGTATAATTCTCGCGTTTCATCACTTAATAACTCGATGTCATTTATTGTCAGTTTCAAATCTTCATATATGTTCTTTGGGAAATCCAATCCATCTCCTATCACTGTAAGATAGCTTTTCATCGGACCATTGATCACTCCCCACCATGTATTTTCATCTTCGGTTTTGTGTTCAGTAGTAGTAGTAGCTTTACTCTTTCCAGTTTTTGTTCGGGTACTACGACGTCTGGTATTCATTTGCGTAGTGCATCAAAAGTCTCGTTCGTCCGTGTGACAATGTTAGGGGTACCCTTGAAAACTGATCACAATATCAAAAATAATTGCCCAAATGGGTATATGGTGTGCTTCTCTTCGAAGAGTTACAACACACATTATTTCACAGCGTGACGCGAACGTCGTAGTACGCCTCTTTGGCGACGAATGGTATAATACCGCGCTTTCATGGTAATGTATATACCCAAAACAATAAAGTTGAACGTTGTTTTTTTTTTGTTTGTCTAGAAAATGTTTCCTAAACTTTATGTTTTTTGATTAATTTGCAATACATCAAGTGCTTCAGCTTAGTTATCGTTTTATAAAGTACGCAATACTTTCAACTGGAATTGAATTTACGACACGTCAACGCCAAGGTATCAGCATTTAGCTGAAGTTTTGTTGGAGCTCTTTGTGTCTGCACCTATGGCATGGACCGTAACGTATATGCTTGGGGAAACTTTCCCAGACCAAGATGTCAAAAACTCGCAATTCTCGAAGGTTTTTATGCACTTATGTCAGATATTGAGGTACTATATTCTCATTGCTATTGTAATTAATATTATACAGTGACTTATCCCCAGTAATTCATCTCATTTCAGAAGACAATTTGCGACCATACAAATGACGTTTCGCTTTCCACTTCACGTGTGCATAGAAAACGCAAGAGGGTACTGTTATACGGCGAATTTAATGATAGTATTTAAATCAATATTAACTATTCCGCAATTGAGATATACGAACAGCAGAAATCTAGTAGGTTCTACAATAAATGATCAGAGCACCTCGTACGCGTTAAACACAGTTAATATTAAATAGAAAGCTAACCAATAAATTTAATATTTCAAACGTTTTGTTTATTAGAAGGACAATTAAATAAACTTGCTGAAAAATCTGGTGATCAACTTTTAAATCATTACATGACATAAAATAACATAATGATTACTTACATTAGCTTAATTCGAAACTATTAAACTCTACAAGAGCAAGATCTTTTGCAAATTCGTCGCTTGCCACTGAAGTTTCTGATTGATATAAATATTCTTGGTTGGATCCCGTGGTGCGCACAGAATATAACTTAGCGTCACAAAATAATCATCATCGATACAATAAAAAAAAAAAAAGGCTATTGCCAACCAACGACTGTATCATCAATATCTCCGATCGTCAACTCTTGGGATGGGATTTCGGCGGAGTTGTGGCTTTTCCTACTTTAGTTAAATAGGAGAAGCATTAGCTCAAGTATTGGTCAGAAGATTTAATGAATTGTTGGAGTTGATAGTGATAGTAATAGGTAATATTAATTAGTTTTTCCCAGGATTAGATATGCTGTTCACTGTGCCACAAGCTGTATATGTTAATTTGATGTCATATTTTATCTGCACGTGCTTATCAAATCTACCGTAACAAAAATTTACTATTACTATTACCGTTACCCTAAATTTTTTCCAGAAATGATAGCCAACGATAACGACAACATTCAGGCATATCACGTCGGAGGGAAGGTTTCGAAAGTACGATTTGTTACTCCAGCATCATATTCAGATGGATCAGTGTTTGCAGTAACTGGTACTTGGGACGAAGAACAGGTAAACTCGTAATATTCATTATGCAAATATTGCTTGACTCGTTGGATAAGGACTCTGATAATACCCAAATCCAAATTTGTACCTTTTCTGCCGAATTTTCTTTCATTGGCGCAACTTAGGACAATACTCTTTCACTACACCAAATATTTAGAACTTTGCAACCGTTCCCAACTTCACAATTCAATCCCTTTCGCACGAAATCTGTAACAGATATCAAACATGAAGGGGAAATTAGAGATCTCCATTTTCTCTCGCATGATCTCTTTCTAACTGCATCTTCGCTTGGCAGGATAAATTTATTTCGCATAGCTGAGGTAATTATATATTTGTGTAATCGACTGTCAGCACATTCGATTTATTTGGACCGATACAAATCTTCAAAATCTTAATATTCAGCTACTCACTTTTCTATATTTTATTTCGTTGTTCTCATTGTCTCATAAGATTCGGAAAAATTCATGTCTACTTCATCTTCTTTCCTTCAATAATATGCTCATCAAATTCTTAGTCGGATCCAAAAACACAAAGCGACACGACACACAAGATCAAACTAGAATATTCGAATACAACTCACGGTTCAGGCACGGGAAGACCCTTAGCGGCGACCGGAATAGCTGTAGAACCTAATAATGATATGAACCCAGAGATCGCGAGTGTAGGTGAAGATGGCAGATTAGTGTGTTTCAGAATCGAAGAGAATCAGAATGATATTGCTGGTATGTTGAAAGGCGGAGGGGTTGAAGCGGGAGAGTGTCTATGGTGTAGAGAGCTATCTTAACAAACTTGCTAAATTTGGGTACGATATGCTCAAATCTTCGTACTGACAATTGCCATCTATTTACAAGAACAAATAGATGCGGCAGTGATAAACGGAATATCATGGCCAACTTCAAAGGAGATTGTATGTATTCGATGCTAGAGTGATTAAACCTGTTTGATCAAAATATGTGCCAATCGATAATCTACAAGTCACCTTTCACGCTCATCTTGTTTGTTTTTCCTGCGTAGATAGTAGTAACCAGCGGTGGGCAATTGAAGAAGTTCGATCGAAGAGATTTAAGAAAGTCGGCTGCTGTTGCTGTGGAGTAAGCTTCAATCAACTATCCTCTAAGATATATGATGCTCCATCGCAGTCTGTCTGCCCGAACTATTCACTCATTTTATTCAAACGCCAATACATTAGTAAAGACTACGCAGAAGATTCGCTGACCTCTGTTGCATGTAATCCATCACAGGTTATTTTGACATGAAGATGTCTCTTTTCCTTAAGCACACGTGCTTCTCTCATTTTTCACGCCCAATATTATTCACCTTCCACCTTCGTTCTCTAATCGACTATCATATCAAATTTACTAGATCACCCAGATAGCGGTAGGAAGTTCTTCCGGCTTGGTGACTGTCTGGGATAGCAAGAATTTGTCAAAGCCATTGAAACAATTTCAGGTTCATCAAGCTAATGGTATGTCATATTAATGGTTGTAGAATATGCGATAGAGTTGAGGTTGATAAATACAGGTATGACTGATAGGATGGTTCACTTGGTGTTTTATAGTTTGGGAAGTTATGTTCCATCCCAATCGAGCTGGATATATATTGACTGGTTCAGAAGGTATTTATATATGAGGCATCTATGAATTGTATTTCTTTTCAAACCTCACGCGTCCATACTCTTTATCAAATTCTCATTTTAAGACGGATCAGTGTCATTTATAAACCTAAGTGGGGCTTTAACAGACTTATCAGACGTACACACTCAAACACGTCGCTCGTTCTCTAAAGCAACAAGTATGCTAAATCCTCTTGGTATCAATTCAATCGACTATCACCCCATCGCCAAGCTGTTTATCGCTGGGGGTGATAATGAAAAGATACTATTATCGGATTTGAGCTAACAATATTGATAAGAGGATGTAAGTGAATTTAAATAGTTGGGCATGATGATGGTGATTCGACGTGATTGCTAATGGTTTGATAAATCGTCATTTGAACCTGAGTGCTCTCTTTCTATGAGTAAAAAAATAAATAAATGTCTAATACCTAATGTTAAGAAACAAGTCTCGGGGATATCGATCACAAGTTACTGGCAAACCGGTTCATTAATCTATTCTCAGCATAATGTTACATCTATCATTCGCTGATATATCCAGAATGGCTACCTACCTTTTCCCTCCTCACCATCTACCTTTCCCTCCTTCAAGTCCTCCGTCTTCTTATATTTAATATTAAACTCCATCCGAGAATAAATAGCACTTAATAGAAACAGTCCTAAGAAAAACGTCGAAGCCGATAAAGGCTTTCTAAATAGCTCATCAGAATCATAGGCATAGGACACTTGAAAATCCTGGACATGTTCATCAACGAAATTATAGGCTTCGATCGTCACAAGGTAACGACCGATGGTGTCGAGATAGGTTTTGTGTATGCCGTGGCTTTGTTTGCGGACTTTGAAGGGAAGATGGACTTGCACATCTCTGGAAAACATCACGAGAAGGACATGTAAACAGTTGCTACAAAGTGGTTGTTACCGCGTCTCTTTTCTCTTAAACCTTTCACACGTCCTTACCTCGCCCCTTCGGGTAATATCAGTTTCACTACGATTTTGTCAGTGACGACATCTGGCCATCTTTCTATGAACTTCGCATTGAAGTAGAACCTTTCTTTCCCTTCATGATATCTCAAAAATTTGTTCAGAGGCAGATTATACCCGTGATACCAGGTATAATTCCAACCGCCAAAGAGTGGATACCGTGGTTTGAATTCAAAGACGGATCGATTGGGCTCGTTACGAAAGTTGGAAGTAGAGACGTTTCCAATTTCGTCGCGGTAGTAGGCATCAGCGGCGCCAGGGGGGAATATAATGGAAAGAAGATGGGCTGCAATGCTTTCGGATTGCGGGAAATATTGGGTGCGTTGATACTCTAACCGAGAAAATTGACCCTGCAGCCTGTTTTTGTGGTAATGGTGGTAATTAAACAAAGGTCGGGAAAATATTGGACATGTAAGAAAATGATGTGCTTACCGTGCTCCATCATTTATCAAATCAAAGGTTTCCTCAACGGCCAAGTTCCCGCCCCAATGACTAACTTCCAACTCTCGTCGTAAACTCTTTATCCTCAATATTGCTTTCTGATAAGGATAATGTATTGACAGTGGTTCGTGTATGTATGCTTGCGTGTTATTGAAAAAACCGTAAGTTATCTGTTTATCGTTCTTTGTTGTTACTTCAGGTACTGTCGTATAACTTAGAAGTTGCGGAGAAGGGAGACTAGAAATAGGAAGACGGTTTATGGATTGACTGATCTCCAAGTAAATATTAATTGCGTAACCTAATAATGACAATCTTACTTTACAATAGTCCTCTGCTTCTCGCTGAAATATGCATTACTAGCATACAAGTTGCCTATGTAGAGTAAATATTGTTTTCCATTTTGAGGTATTTCGTGAGGAATGGGCTTTAATATGTGCGTGAACACAGTCTTAACCTCGACTGTAATCTTCTCTTGCGCATCAACAAGACGGTTGAAGCTGATTTTGTAGAATTGTACGCGACTAAAGCGAGAATGTTATTGGTATTTCTGATGAGTCAAGTAATCAGCATTCGTTACAGTGGGATCTATTATCATCCTGATCTACATAGATCCAACCCTTTTCATAATAAATTCATATTCTTGGAGACTCACTTCTCAGTATCGAATCCTGCCTTCTCGACCTCAAAATTCACCGTAGTCTTTCTTTCATTAGCACTGATCCACGCCAAATGTTTATCCCTCTCTTCACTTACAGGGAAGTAATACTCTTTGCTAGGGTCATCGCCAGTATTGAAAGCAACAAATGCAGTAACTTCTCTCACTATTGGAGTTGTGAGATCTACTGTGCGAAGTAGATTGAGATTCTTCCAAGTTTGAGGTACGATAAACGAAGCTTCTTTTACGCCTGCTGAGACTAAGGTTAAAGCCAGTAAAAAGAGGAAGTAAAAAAGAAGCATTTTTTTAAGGACGCGAGGAACAGAAACTACGAGCCTGCAAATATTATTGCACGTATTGTGTGATGATTGGATGGAATTCGTGCGTCGATCATTAGATAATAAACGCACATGAGAGTAAAATGTTTGGAAGATGTCTACTTCAAAGACCTCAAAGTCTGTGCCTTTTCAGGGGCATGAAGTTTCCAGGTGGAGTTCAAAGCACGCCCATTGATCAATGCTTCAGATTCACAACACAAACTAACAACCCTTGCTATAGAAATGTATTTGTAAAGCTTTACGTTCACACAGTATTCATGGTGATACTTCCAATTGCAACGTACTTTTACACGTCAAACTACTATTACGATGGTAAATGTCCTCCATGTCCTATTCTGCATACAATTGATATGCTAATACCCTTGCCCATTGACAAAAGGTGACTCACGTACAACTAAGGCAGCAATCTCGGCAGTTGTGGTGGCGAATCTTGTAGTATTTTCATTCATAATAACAGCCTTTATGGAAGACGTGGGTGACAAGAAAGAGGATGTTCGACTGAAGAATGACTAAATGGGAGGGTACACATAAGCGAAATATTAGTCTGATTTATTGAGGAAATTGCATGGGAGAAAGATCTTTGAGATTATTATTTAGCAGCGTTATAATTACAAGAATAGTAATGAAATATAACATGTTTGCGCTTAAAAAATGCACGATCCATCAATGTTCTCTTAAACATTCCTTACATAATTATCTTATAATTGTTTACCATTACTATGGTTGATCAGCTGATATCATGTGATTAAAAAGATTATTTTATTTACCTTGCTGATAGCAGTAGTACCTTTAGTTTTCCATTATGATGAAATGGTGTCTAATGCTCAGACTCTTAACTCCAACTAAAATTCCCATTCTAAAAATAAGACATGCCCCCCCAATATTTAATACATCGATTGTATTTTTATCTTCTAATTCCGTTGATACAACAAATAACAGCATTCCAAAGCATACTTCATCCACACTGTCGAATAACAAACGCGAACCATCGAATCGTATTCCAATTGTTATAAACGAGGCAGATTTAATAGAAACATTTGTCAAAGGATCCGGTCATGGTGGGCAGAAAATAAACAAGACTTCCAACTGTGTGGATTTGAGACATATTCCCACTGGTATACGAGTTCAAGTAAGATAGACAATTGATATCTTTGGTAAACGCAATTACCGAACATTTCTAAGTCAATTATAATCTTTGTAACAACCATCAGTGTCAACAGACACGATCTCTTCAAGATAACCGAAGAATAGCAAGAAAGATTCTTAAGGATAAACTAGATAATCACTATAACGGAGAGTTGAGTAGAAATGCCATGAGAGCCGTAAAGAAGAGGAAGAGAGAGAGCAAGAGACGTAAAAGAGCCAAAGAGAAATACGGAACAAACGATATGACTGCAGAAAATGCATCAGCAGGCAAAGAAGGAGATGACAATATCGACAGCAACAGTAACAATGATAACAATAACAACGACCCCGACAGCAGGTTAGATGGCCGGGAGTAGAAAGTAGCCGAAGAAAGTATTCGTAGTGAATAAAACTTATGATTGATTTTACAAAAAAGTTTGCGTCATCCTAACAATAGATGGATGATATTCTATTACTTGGGCAATCTGACCGGCACCATATTATGATTAATCGTTACGATTTTGACGTGTGGGCATCCTACAACTTTTTTGGCGTTCTAAAAAAATTTGCGCACAAGAAAATATTGACACAGTCTGTCATAGGCTTTTTTATAACACTGACGTTCCTGAATGGACGTCCGAGAATGTCGTTAAATGCTATCGAGGAAATGCATTTATAACTGTACGTTTGTACTTAGTATTAGCTAGTTAGCTAGCCAATTTTGGAAAACTCTCCCCATTAAATAAATTTCATTCATCAAGATATAAATCTAGCATTTTCTATTTGTTCTGACCAATTTCAGACTAAAGAAGGCAAAAGGTCGAGGTATGGATAAGCTGAAACTTGCCAGCTCAACCAGTCACAAATTAAAATGCAAGTTGTGACACTCTTACTCTTCCTCTAACATTATACCAATTCTTTTTTTGGCCAAGGACTCTCAATTGCGCCTCTGAAAGTTGCAGTTTTTGTCAAAACCATTGCGTTTGGGGACGAAATTTGCATTTTCGAGATTCTATGTTGCGTGCGTTGACACATCTGATCGAAATCACTTGCCCGCGTTTTCGCACAAATAGCTTAGGTTCTGCAAGGGTAGATATCAGTCAAAACTAAACATTTCAGTCTATTTTAGGTTCATCATACATTTTAGTAAAGAAATGCAAACATGAAGTTATTGTCTTCGCGCTCCCTCACCGTGACAATAGGGCACTGTAGTGTCGATGCTTAGTGATGAGGCCACCGACTTGGCCAACTCTATTATACTATTTAAGTATATCTCTATGATTCTATCTCTAAAATCGGACATTATCATAACTAATTACATATGTATTTCTTTAGAGAATAATTTCCTTCTTGCTAATATATCTTAGGCAACAGATATATTCTCCATCGGCCTTCTATACTATTACTATCCGTAATAATTACAAATATATAACAATTAAATAAGAAACAGCACTTCAGATTTAACCGCTACTCTTAATGGCCTATTAATTTCGTTAATATATTTAGGGAATTAATAACATCGCTGTTTCATCATACAGACGAAGACGAATAATATACCATCCACCGAAGGTCAGGTTCAACAGATGTTCCTGACAAAACGTAGCGGACGAAAAATGCCGTTCATATATAATGTAAAATATCTAATCCCGTTATACATTATAACCCCGTTAATATCAAACTCTCTCTATTAGCGACAGTGGTTACAGAACGGATCATACCCCGTTGATATCCCTATCAACACGTGTACACCTTTAGCGTTCAATCGTAGGTGTGAACAAATAAAGAACGCAAAACTCCCTACCAACACGTATCAGATTTTATTCCTAATTAAATGTACCTCGCTGATATCAATGTTGTGTCTGAGTTTGGGACCTGTCTCAGTTCGGAACCAGTCACTCAGTCCAGAACCCAGTTGTCTCAATCCAGAACTGAGACAGGTCCCCAACTGAGGTACAACATCAACATCAACATAAATTAGTATTAGTATTTTAATTCTGATCTACAATATCACGTACAGTCAAACTTCGATATAGTCAAGTCGAAGGGACGGGATTTTTCTTTACTATATCGAAACTTCACTATATCGAAACTTCACTATACCGAGAATTATCGATATAGTAAAGTTTATATATAAGTGGCATAAATCTTCACTATATTGCGACTGCAAATCTTATAGCAGTATAATGATAAACGACTCAAACGTTATTTCTACTGACGAATCTAATACTGCTGAACGATTTATATGAATGTACTGATACTAAGTTGTTTAACGTAGCAAGTGGCATACCGTTCAATTATGTAGTAACATCTTAAGGTTTCATAATTTATTAATTCTCATATTGATTAGTGAACAAACAGCCTCTTCTAACTGAGGATGCTTTCCAGTTCTTTGTCGCTTCATGGAGCCTTATTAGTATTAAGATCAAGTGACAACCATCTTACCTTATCACTCATCCTTGAAACGGCTGCCTCGGAAATATCGAATTGCTTCGCTATTGTAACTTGGCTAACACCTCGCTCTTTAAACGACATATTTCAGCTTTCTGGACACCGGACAAACTTCTTCTCTCTGAATTGGCTTTTTTTTTTTTCTCTTTGTAGCTCTGTTTCAGCTCCATGCTGTTAAAATTTTCTCACTTTAATACTTTTAACCAACACGTGTTTGTATTATGATTGGTCAAAAACTATATCGAGACGCAATCTACTAATATTGTTTGAGAAAAAACTTGACAATATCTAATAACGAGACTTACTATATAACTTCACTATATCGAGGGAAAATTTAATAATACTGTTTTTGTGTCAGAGGATATTCTTTACTAGCGCGGAATTCACTGTATCGATATTAATATCGAGGTTTGACTGACTGTATTACTATTGGATCTGTGTGTGTTATGTAACACAATAAACGTTGAGAATGCTTTCTCCGTAATTCAGTAATTGTACTTTATCCAACGATGTCATTAGTTCCAGGGATTAATAATCCAGCAATTGACAACTTGGTTCAATCCTCCTTGGAAAGTAAATACAACAGACTTGAATGGATTCATTACAAGGAAATCACCAACATAAAGCCAACTCAAATTTCCACCGTCCATTACGCTTATCGTCACAATGATAAGATAATGCTGTTAATATGCCTTGGAAACAGCAGAGAATGTACACAAACACTTGTTAGTGAGTTTGCTAGAATATACTCACTTCCAACACACAAGCACGATAGTAATAGCAACAATTTCAAAAGATATTCCAAATGGCTTAAGGTCGCAACAGACTCATAAAGGGGTTTACTAAGCGTAAAGGCAATTTCTACATGGTTGCTAATAGAAAGTTTTACCACTGTTATTCTCGATATGGAATCTGCTCAGCATGTGGAATACTCCGATGTAGTCCCGTATGGTGTATTTGTGGCCATAAAGAAGTGTTCAATGGATGGACTAGCAACAATAAGCAACTCGATGAGTTTATTAAGAAATCTCAATTACAAACAAACTCACCAAATCATGCCTATTTGGAATGGATTCCATACGATTGCATTGGTTATGGGATATACTTGTATGGTCTACCTATTTATGAAGATGTTGAATTAATTCCACTTGAGATAACAGACGAGACATGATTTATATTATGACAAGGTAAACTATTTACTTATCGAATAGTTTAAATAATTATTGACTCAGTATAACGTATTATTTCCACTAGCTATGTGATGAACGTCCAGATATTCTTACCACGGATGTTTGGGTTACCATCGGATTTACATATAATATACGCCAGCAAAAGTATTGTCTAATAATAAGAGCGGATTATGTCTGGTGTGTATGGGGCGATTAAACCCCAAGATAAATCTATTCTGTTTCGAATGTAAATCCCCAACACCTCCTGATTGGACTACGGGCAACAAATTATTGGATTCATTTATTATGGAGTCATGGAATAATGTGAAGTATAAATACGATGTGTACATACAATGGATAGAATACTCTGTATTATCAAACGTACAAGAAATGACCCCATTACGCCATGGATGCACACATATAGCAGAATGGTTAGAACCGACAACAAATGAATTGACACGTGTGACACTCAAA